TCATTTTAAAGTTAAGATTATGTAAGTAAAAAGTAACATCTCGGTGCTAGGAGCTTTACAACTGAAACTTAAAACAGCAAGAGTTTCAGGGTTGTAAAAATCTGTAAAAAAAAAACAAAAAAAAAAATCATAATACCAAGTTTAAAATGCAGTGAAACCGGATATTTTTGTCAGAAAGGGTCTTCCATAGAGGAGACCTACAGCCTAAAATAAAGCGATATTCATCATGGTCTCAGGGGTGAACAGAGGGTGATGCATGCTGGCAGACAGTTGCTGTTTAAAAATACTCTGAAGTGCTTTTAGCAGACTGGATTCAACATGTATGAGTAACACAGTATAAACAGACCTTCTTTGTTTACCAAAGCACAAACAGATCCTAATGTTAAAAACAAATACGTTTAGGGGACAAATCTAACAAAATTCTTCAAGTTTAGAGTTTGATTTCCTGATCACAACAAATAAAAAACACACACACAAAAAAAAGAAAAAGAAACCAACGGAAGAATCATCAACATTCATGTTTTGATGGGATCTTTATTTAAATGCAAATACTTTTAGCCGTTTTTTCCTTCATCAACAACAACTTCATCAAACTCAAAGGCAGATCGGCTTCAGGTAAGTACTTCTTCTCGACCTCCTAAACTAAGAAAAAAAAGTCTTTTCACTGTAAGACATGGAGTTAAGAATCTTTCTGTGTTTTTTTTTCTCAAACTAACTATTGTGAGGTAAATAAATTTAGTATTTAGGGTGGCGTAATTCTTTTAGCTAAAAAGAGAAAAAGCAAAACAGCAGAATTGTTTGAAAGATGAACAGATGCACAACCAGAAAAAATAAAAAAGTACAGAAAATGACCCCCTGCATACAAATATTTGGCTGTAAAAGCTAAACACAATGCAGACATATTGATCATTCTGAACCTGCTGCAGGAATACCAATGCACAGTTTCAGCACCCTTAGTAAAAACATACAGTGATTGCTTTTAGATGATTCTGCAGACATCACCATAACCTGGAAGCTCGTTTGAAAACAGAGCGGCTCCACAAGGACAAGCAGGACAAAAGCATCAGCAGGGACACTCAAACATCATCATTACTCCCTTTTCTCTTTCTTAACCTTTTATTTCCTCCTTAAACAAACAACAAAAGCAGCAGAATTAAAAACTCACACACATACAGTAAATCCCTGTGGCCTTTCTGTCGGACGTCGGTGATGTTATCCATGATAAAAGTGTCGTTTCTGCATGGGGAGAACCTTTTTTAGATGTTTGACACAAAATCGTCAAAAACAGAAGAAGTTTTCCGCCACAGGAAGCTGTATGAGGGCAGAGTGGAGGCGAACCAGAGCCAACGTTCAGTCAGTTGGAGTTTTCAGCATCCTTCGTCTGAAGTGACCAAAATAAAAAGCATGCACGTCGAGGCGGCGTGTGCTGATCTGATTCACGGTGGTGAGGATCACTCGGTGTATTAAAAGTAGGACAACCCATACTGCAAAAACGACAGCACCCTGGTGACACACTGTGACAAAGTTGAATTCTGGAGGCCAACCCAGCTCCAAGACTTGCTCTACCATCTAAACCGGCAACTTTAAAGCAACAGTCACACGTCAGCTCGCCACTGTCCTTCAGTCTCCCCCCAAAACGCTTTGCTAAAAACAAGAGCTTCACAGAACCTCTCACAGTTACACCAACCCAAACCCACAGCAGGAGGCTCCCGCCAGCCGTCAGTGGTGTGTCTGATCTCTGGTCCATGAGGTGGAGGAGCGACGCCATCAGGGTCCAACGCCACCTGTGACCTGCAGCAGAAAAAATGAGTTCACATCCAGAAAGAAATGTCCAATGCAGGTATCAATGCTGTCAGGTAGGTTTGAAGGAAGCTGTTCTACTTCATGTATTTATGTATGATAGAGTTAATGATAATATCCCTTATTGTCCTAGAAAGGAACCAACACAGGGTTAAAGATAGGGCTCTCTGCGTGTCTACACCTTGGAGCTTCCTCTTTCCGGTTTTTCCTGAAAAGAGATCGCTCGGGACAAACTCTTTAAACATCACTTCATAACTTATATGTATTGAATAACCAGGAGACATGAAAACAGATTTTAATAGGAATTATAATCTTACTCAGATCAGAGAAGTTGCTTAGAGTTACAGAAGGCAGCTGCTTACCCCCAGCAGGGCTCGATGTTAACCATCGCCCGATCGCCCGGGTCAAGTCGTTTTTATAGTTGGGAGAGTACAAATTTCATTGCATTTGCCCGCCGGGCAGTAAATCTTAAATTTATCTCAAGGGAAGCTAACAGTTGGGTCAAAAATTACAGTGTTTTATTGGAGCTGCATATCCGTTTCCTTTTGAATATTTTTGTATTTGCGTAAATATTGCGTATTCTAAAAACAAAGCACTTAAATAGCGGTTCGAATATTACTGTGACTGCTCTGAGCATGTCCGATGATGACGTCACGCAATACGATGGAGAGAATGTAAAACGTATCCAGTTCTTCGAGAAAAGTCTTCAATATTTTCTATACGATGTAGTTTAGCATTCTTTAATGTTTTAAGTATATGAATAAGTATTTTCAGTACCGTTATTATGTAGTTTTTCAGTGATCCGGATCTTATTATTCTGTTCGTGCATGAGCAGGACGGATCGTGCAACCAGGACGGATCGGGTAGTGACAATCTTATTTGTTGGCTAACAAAAACAACTGTTAGCTTAGTTAACTCTAACGTATAAAGGAGAAATCAGACTGCTGGAAAGCAGCGCTCTGGGTCACATGACCCAATCTGTGATGGAGCCGACCCTCTGAGATTAAATAGGTGAGTTTTTAATAAACAGCCCCGTTGGCGCAAAGATACGCACCAAAATCACTGAATATATCTCTAGGTTAATAGTTAAGTCAAAAGTTATGCAGATTTGCTTTAAATATAAATAAATATTAATAGAATAAATATTCATCTGAAAACAAATCTGCAATAATAGATGTTGTAAAAATAAGCTTATTCTTTTGAGCGTCAGTGACTCTTTTTTGTTTTACTCCACCAGAAGCATAATGTTTCATGAATTGGTTACCATGAAAAACCCTGGTTTTGCTTAACAACAGAAAAAAACAAACCCAAATATGGAAAAATGTTAAATATTAACATTCTCCTGCAGGTTTCAAACTTGCATAATCATTTTGAACATTTGCCTTTTTAACAGAATAGAAAATTCCTTTATTGTCCCATAATGGGGAGATTCTGGAATGAGGATTTTTAGCCGCCTTCTATTAAAAAATAAACAAAAAAACAGTTAAATCTAATATCTCATTGGTTAATGTTTTGTCCAACCATTTTTAAACCAAACATTTCCATGGAAACCAGATGGTTATTTTTACCTGATGTGGTGAAAAACAGCTCAGGACAAAATGTGGACGAAGAGAATAGCCAGGCCGATGTTGAGCAGGATCACCATACACACCATGATGGTGTTTGGGCCCTGGAGAGGAAGGAGAAGAACAGTAGTTTGCTGCTGCTGCTGCATTCATTTAAACTGAAAAATAACTTTAGATTTACTTTCCTGGGTTAACTCTGTGTTATGTGTCTTATTACTGAAATGACCAGCAGGTTTTTATCAAGCGTTGAACCAAAGCACATTCATTTGGGGATAATGCTAAGCTAAATAATCCCAACAATTAGTTGAATGTTTTAGAGAATTTAGAGATGTTTAGCAAATATGAAACCTCAAAATAATTCCTCTTCTATATAGCAAGACCACCTAGACCCCCTGCAAAATAAAATAAAATAAAGGAATACACAAAACAATTCATATTTGATTGTTATTACAAACTTTATGTGGCATTAAGTGGCATTCCCCAAGGGTGCATCTTAGGGCACTTCCTATTCACTTATCTACACGCTCACCCTACCTATGATCTTAATAAACACCTAAAGTTACATCCATGCAGACGACACACAGCTAAAAATTAGCATCTCATCAGGCGACATTACATACCATCTGCTTCAATAACATTTTAAAAAACTAAA